CCTTCTGGTACTCTTCTTTTGGCTAACATATCAACTTTATCATGAAGGAGTAATCCAATGTTGATGGGATCCAAATCAATTGTACAATAAATCCTTTGTCCCTAATTTTTGAGTATCTATAACCTGGCTTCCCCAATGAGCATGGTTTGTTGGAGTCATTATATGATTCAAGAGCCTTCAATGATGACATAGAATCATAATGATGATAGAGTCAAGCTCAGGTGTCATAGTTAGCTTTACGCCCATTATGATTGCAAACAATTCAGTTTTGCAGAGTAGAACGCCCAGTTGTTAATTCTTAATGCCTAACTCAACAAATTTATTATCGTTCTTAACTAGGGAGGTGGCCAACAAGAGCAGATGCAGCCTGCCAGAAGAACTCCTGAATATATCCATCAGTGTATATAACTTGTTGAAACTTATTACACCACCGGCAAGGTGAGAATTTCTTCTTGACAGTTTCACTAACAAGAGATTTAAGGAAGGATAACTAGCAATGAGCTGCCTTGGGATGGACTTGTATTTATGTGATATTAAATGGAACACATCTTTCCATGGAGGGTGAAAATGCACTTGTTGCCTACAGTTACAGTTTCATGTAGTTATAAAACTTAATGCAATTGGGGCACGTTTTCACAATCCATTTAAGATCTGTGTGTATTTACCTCTATACACATGTAGATCACTGGTGACAGAGTCCCTGGGTTACGATTTCTCAACATTCTAATACCGAGTACAGTGTTAATTCAACCAATCCTATCCACTTGATACTAGAAATACCAAGCGCCATCCTCAAGTTAAGAACTTTGTAGATCTGGGACAGCCAAGAATAATCCTGAGAAGCTCAATTTGCATTAACTTCAAGGGTCGGAGAGACTTTCTCTAGCTAATATCACATGTGAGCAGCAAATCAATTAAGGACCTAACATAGGCTATGTACATCATTCTCACGATCTCACATTAGCACCATAGTAGGGATTGTAGCCAGCAACAGCTTTGCTTTGAGAGCATTTAGCGGGAGGGGGGCGGGAAGGCCTTGGGGGGCATTTCTTGTTTTAGGTTGAGGGGGGTGTTGTGGATTTGGTTAAAGTACATCTACACCAATTAGTCTGTAAGTTTTTAACGTAAGCTAATGATTTTAACCCTAGCAAATAGATGGGTGGGGTTGTCGTTTGCTTGTAAGTTACTTGGGGTGGTTTTGTAGTATATTTTTTGGCGCTAGGTGCAGTGTAATTGGGGAGGGTTAGGCATTAAGATTGGTATACATCTTCTTATTAGCGATTGGGTTGAGTTATGGTGTGAACTGCATAGCATATAGCTAGTAATGTTTAGGGTGAGGCAGGTTTAGTCTATTAGGAGAGCATTTAATGCTGGAAATATGATATAGCTTGGGTCTAAGATCTAAGCTCGACTGCGGTGTACTACTATTGAATTTTCGTTTGAATCAGACTCGGAAGCCTTGGTTAAAGGGTCAGAGGATACTCATTTGACAGTTATCCTATTATCCACAATAAGCTAACTCACCATATTTCTGTTTTGCTAGTTTCTGTAGTATAACGTTCTGTTCGCAATATCCGCAAATGCAGAATTTTTAGATCGAAATGAAAAGTGGTTAAAAGCTATGGAGAGGTGTGTCAGTGAGAAAGGTGGAAATACAGTTCTGCACACTTACCCTCATGAACCCAAAGAGGTAATGGGGGATTGTGGGGGGCGGTTTCTGTTGACAGTCTTAAGCATCCATTATTTTTTAGTCAAAGTTTACAAAGACAACTTAGTTAAGCATTCGGCCTAATGGGTTCAGCTGTTGGGGCTTAGGGATAGGCACAATGAGGACTATTGGTCAGGAAGTAGGAAGAACGGCACCTCAGTGTAACTGAGAATATACAGTTGCCAACAGAGGGTTTATCAGGGCCTGTGCTTAGAGTTGCTGAGAATATCATAGGTATACCTACTCGCCAGTTGATATTCTGCGCAGCAGAGTTCCCAAGATTTGAAGTTTTATAGGAGGCATGCATAAGATGCTGACCATTTGTACAGAAGTAGCGTTATCAATTAAATAGAATTGGTTAGGTATCTGATAATTGCTATTAATATAAGAGTATAAAAGTACAAGTTTGTTATTTCAGGTTTAATTTACACCGATATACGGAGTTACATAGATAATATATCATACATAGCAGCATATGTGGTAAGAAAGAGATATTGGGATAACCCCAAAAAATCAGAGTGATCTTATTATGTAGATGCAGAACACCTAATTTATTTCAACAGTGGACACAATTTTTATACCGAGGAATGTATTCATACCATCAGAATGCTCTTCCTTTTTCGCTTAAGATTTCTAGTTAAAATTTATTTATTGCAATATGAAAATTTGGCTCTAGTTTTCATATATGGTGTTCGATATCTCAGTTGATCATAGATCAGAGCTTAAGGGTATGGCAATAATTCCGATGTAATGGCTGAGAAGTCTGCTTCTTTGTTTTCAGTTATCTTCTACTTTTTAATACCCCTCAAAGGAGGTTCCTTGATGCTGGTGAGGGGCTCTTGATCTAGGTAATTGGATCTGTGCTCCAGTTCCCTGAATTGAGCCTGCATGCCTCCCATCCCCCCACATGCGCTGTATAATCCTACAGGTTTAGCGCTCCCCATGATAATAATAATAATAATAATAATAATAATAATCCACTTTTTACTATTTTTCCAGTTCTTACGCATTTTCTCATTGCCTCTGTTTCTCTTTATAAGCTATGGTTACATTATGGTCTCTGCATTACCTCCGCTTAATGACAATTCCTCATCCTCGTCCTTTCCATCTAAGTAAGTTTATTCAGGTATACCTGGAGTTTACCTGGAGAGAGTTTCATAGAATTATCATACATAGCAGCATATGTGTAAAATACCTAGGGTAATCCAATAAGTCAGACAAATAACTTTATTACCATGGAGTCCTTTAGGGACTCCAGTGTCCCATTCATTTTCATTTCTATTATAAATACATTGAGAGGGTCTATCATACTTTCATAATATTTTCTCCTTGTCTAGTTGTAGCAAAGGAAATTGAACCTCCAGACTATGTGGATGCTAGCAACAAGAAAAGATATAATGCTCCAGTGTATGGCCCTGTCCATCCACACAGTAGATTTTGTCATTGACATCTCCATACAAACCGTACTGCCAGATGCTTATAGCCTAGTCTTAGTCTGGCAGTGGAAAACCACGACCTAATTAATGGTTGTAATTATAATAATAATTTTTAAAGGGGGTGGAGGGGTAAGCCAGTGGAAGGCCTCGGTCAGATGGCCAAAAGCTCCAGATGCGGGCCATCATATAGACTAAAACCCGCGTCGGGAAATACCTGTCCTGTTTCCTGACACCTTCCTAACCTAACCTAGCAGAAGAAACATCTTGCACTCTCCTTAGTCTAGCAGTAGATATGTTTAACTTCACATTATGACTGATGATGTACCTGCTATTTCCTATCTGCATTGTTCTGCTTTCTTCAGGCTCGTTGCTAGTTCCTTTCTGACTGTTTCTAAAGTTTGTTTGAAAAAAAAAAAACATCATACTCAACATTCTTTTTATTTAATGTTTGTTTAGCTCATTCCTTCACTGTGTCATGCTCCTGGAGGCCTATGTAAGAGGGAATCTACAAAAGTTTAATTGTAATATCTTTCTTAATAATTTGTGTATATCCGTGCCTAGCTTCACACACAAGCATGCTGATAAATTAGACACATGTGCAACTCTTGGGCATCTTTATTGAGGAAACGTTTCGCCACACGTGTCTAATTTATCAACGTGTCGGTTCTCTGAACCATTGATCTACACAAGCATGCTACAGTCAGTTCTCAGGTTATTTAGAACAAGTAATGAGGAAAGTGTTAGTTACAAATGATGTATGCACGATGGTACTCTTCCTCACTATTGTACGTAAATCCATGTAATCATTAGTAATTTGTAATATTGAATAAGAATTATTATTAGTCTGCCCGAAATGCCTAGGCTTGCTAGGCATGTAGTGTCATTCTTTGTAATTTTTGTTTTTAATATGTAAACCCTTGTAATCTTAACAAAAATAAACACTGAAACTAAAAAATTTAATTTCAATTTCAAATTTGCACAAAAAATTTTAAAAAGGGAAACCATGTCTGGGTCCCTCCTGGAAGCCCCCACGCCTCCGTCGTCCTGGGAAAGATAAGTGCTAGCCCCTGGTGGCTGGATGTCAAAATTATTCAATAAACACTTCCTGAGCTAAGTAATATTATGATTTAATTGGGTTTTAAAAAAGTTGCCCAAATAAAACTGGGGGAAAAAAAAATAACCATAGTCTGAGTTTTTTTAAAATAATAAATTTTTTTTTTTTTGGAAGGAAAAACGAAATCGTAATTTTTGTGAGCATAAGGTAAAGTAGGTACATGGGGTAGATACAGGTAAAAATTTGTAGGCACAAAAAACACCCCTAATTATGAAAGCATTTCGGGAAAATAATGTAAGGCTTACAAACTATTTAAGGGAATAACATGCATTGTGTAGTCTTTTTGTATAGTTAAAAAGGGGGCCCCAAAGGAAATTCCTGGGTGCTAACTTCTGGGTTAAAAATTAGAACAAAATTTATATTGATTTTTTTGGGGGGTTTCCAGGTAATTTCACTGTGATTTTTATGTGTCCGTTTCATAATCATAGCTAAGCGCTAAAAAACCCCAAGGCCATCAGCACTGGACCTGTGCCTAAATAAAATTTTCAAAACTTTAAAGAGCAGATGACAAAAACAGTCGTTAGAAAACATTTACATATTATTTAAACAGGTTCCATAATCAGTTTTATTGCATAAATGAATCCAGATTGTGAAATTACAACAGGTTACTTAAATTACAATATAAATCTAGTGGGACAAGAGATGTATTGTATCTGTTACTTGATTATTGTGTGGGAGGTCTGGAGCTGCCACTTGGACCCTCCTGTATTTTAAAAAATGATCTCTAAATATAGTCCACTTAAAATCAATCAATACTCCCATACAGAGGAACTGGAATGATCATGTAATGGCCACAGAAACAAGAGAAACTGCCCCTCAGGTTAACAGCAGCATTGCTAGCATTGATCCAGAGGAGCAGAGGTTGCGACGAAGGCTGCCTCGGCATTTGCCTAAACGAGCTAATGATATATATGTGAATAGCCACTCAAACATTAAGGTGAGATAAACATAATTTATTTAATTTCTGATAAAAATAACTCGGACTGTTTAATTAAATGATATACAAAAAAGTTAGTAGCCATTTGGTGACTTTCTGGTCTTAATTTTTTGGGGGAAATAATGTAGACTTTTCCTGATTTTGTATTGAATAGGGATTATGATTGAATTTTGGTGCATGTGTGATATGGTCATTTTTTTTTTCTTAGTAAACATCATTTAAGAAATGTGGAATATGCTAAACTTTATAATGAATCCCTATATTATGCATGTTATAATGGATTTTGCCTATGCAAATTTGCTTTATCTGCCAATGGCCAGGAGTGCATCTATTGTATAGAGGGACACCTGAATACTATCTGCCCATCCAGTTTTTGCTGACCAATTTCTGTGACTGTCATAATAGCTTAACAGATTTGATGTACATAAATGTACAGAAATTTCCAGACCAAGTGCCAGACTATTTACTAGTCTGCAAGTTATTTATATTCTTTTTTGTTGGCTGGGTATTACAACCACGACTAATGTGAAAAGTCGTGACTTGTTACTTGGCTAAAACTGTCTGCATGTGTGTGATTTGGCCACAATCCCTACCTCAGGATGCAGAGGGGCTGCATAGGATATCATATAGTATTAACATCTGCACCAATGTGTGTGTATCTAGTAATTCAGTTTTATATTTTTTTTTTTTTTTCAACAAACCGGCCGTATCCCACCAAGGCAGGGTGCCCCAAAAAGAAAAATGAGTTTTTCTTTTTAAATTTAGTAATTTGTACAGGAGAAGGGGTTACTAGCCCCTTGCTCCCGGCATTTTAGTCGCCTCTTACAACATGCATGGCTTATGGAGGAAGAATTCTGTTGGCCTGGTGGCTGAAGCTCCCGCTTCACACACGGAGGGCCCTGGTTCGATTCCCGGCGGGTGGAAACATTTCGACACGTTTCCTTACACCTGTTGTCCTGTTCACCTAGCAGCAAATAGGTACCTGGGTGTTAGTCGACTGGTGTGGGTCACATCCTGGGGGACAAGATTAAGGACCCCAATGGAAATAAGCTAGACAGTCCTCGATGACGCACTGACTTTCTTGGGTTATCCTGGGTGGCTAACCCTCTGGGGTTAAAAATCCGAACGAAATCTTATCTTATCTTCCACTTTCCCATGGAGATAAGAGGAAATAAACAAGAACAAGAACTAGAAAGAAAATAGAAGAAAACCCAGAGGTGTGTGTATATATAAGCTTGTACTTGAGTCCTGGAGATGGGAAGTACAGTGCCTGCACTCTGAAGGAGGGGTGTTAATGTTGCAGTTTAAAAACTGTAGTGTAAAGCACCCTTCTGGCAAGACAGTGATGGAGTGAATGATGGTGAAAGTTTTTCTTTTTCGGGCCACCCTGCCTTGGTGGGAATCGGCCGGTGTGATAATAAAAAAAAAAAAAATAAAATAATAATGTATATGAAGTGTGACCTAAGTGTAAGTAGAAGTAGCAAGATATACCTGAAATCTTGCATGTTTATGAGACAGAAAAAAGACACCAGCAATCCTGCCATCATGTAAAACAATTACAGGCTTTCGTTTTACACTCACTTGGCAGGATGGTAGTACCTCCCTGGGCGGTTGCTGTCTACCAACCTACTACCAAGGTCAATTTTATATACATGTACTAATTGCCCATGTCATAGGTTATGAGTTTCCTTTTTTTTTTTTGGTGCATTGTATTCAACCCTTTCACTGTATAGACCCCCAAAATTAATATTGCTCCCAGTGTCTACTTTAAAAAAAATGTTTTCTTCTAAATTGGTAGAATCTTTTTCTGAAGGTAATAACACCAAAAGTGTGAAATTTGATGGGAAACCTACGGAATTACGCAGACACAAAATTAGTGGTCTGAGCACAATTTACATATCAGCGACTTTGCCCATTTTTAATCCTATTTCAAGTCAATTCCATTGCTCCATTTGACTAATTTCTTAGCTATTTTGCTAGTATGGCTTCCATTTTATTGATTGAGCACAAGGAACTGCCCATTCAAGTATTGCAACTAATCTGTAAGGTGCACAGAATTTGGTTATTTACCCAGTTTTACAAAAAAATTGAAAAATACCAATTTAAAAATACAGTGCAAAATAAACAATGTAGACATGGAGCTAAAAGAACTTTTACCTTATCCATTAATCACATCCTAGGCCTCTCCTATATTACACTTGCCTTCCGTTTTAATTCATAATCACACAAAAACCGATTTAATCTATTTTCTGGATAATAACATATTACCAGGAATGATTAGTCATGGTTGACAGCATCCTAATAATTGAATCAGATCTATTAGACACCCATAAAACAGACCAGGGGGTGTAGGGGGGCCTTACCTGTCCTCAGGAAAATTGGCAGAAATTTAATATTTTTGCTACTTAGAGCTCAATCTCTTAACTACTACTGGTCTTGAAACCAATGAAAATCATTTCTGTTTCAGTAGTACATCTTCCATTCTGTCAAATGATACCGGGGTTAAATTCGAGAAGCCAGTTGCTGGACCAGGTGTCCAGTCTGTCCAGGTCTCTTTGAAGTCCTGCCTGATCCTCATCTGATTTAATTCTCCTCATTAACTTCTAGAAACCTCAAAGTTTCTATTTTAAACTAAAAAAAACGGGGAAGGACTCTTTTTATACTGTGTACACTCATTGCATGGACCCATTCTCTCATGTCTAGGCCAAAATTTACCACTCAGCTTATCTGAGTGAGCTGAGCTCATGATGTAGAAATATGTGAGGGACCCTGGCCTTAGTGATGTAGTTCTACATGTCAGCCACTGAAAGGGTTAAGTATCCTTTCTAAGGTCTTCAGTTGACTCTTATCATGATTTTTGGGTACTGGTGGTAGGATTCCTTTAGTGGTTCATGAAACTTCAACATAAATAGCATTTTGAAGCGCAATGAAAAATTACTTTGTGGAAGGTTTCATGAACCACTGTGTCCACCATTTCTACTTGTCAGCTATTCCTCATCAGGCTGTTCCAGTTGAAGTGTGAAGCTTGTGCCATGAGTCAGCCAAGGGAATGCAGGTGTGTATGGCATGTGAAATGTAAGCGGGACTAACTGGGCAAAAATGTGAGCTAAAATTCTATTACTGGTGTTATAAAGGTTATACAGAGAGGCAGTAATTCCTGAAGAAAATTATCAGTAGTTGATGGTTTGTTTATTTTGTCTTAATATTTTCTTTTTTTCCAGGGACAACAATCACGTGGTGTGAGCTTACTGAATGAATCAGGCTGGGTGGTAGTCCATGGTCTGGGACCAGCTGTGCCTTATGCCATTAACTTAGCACTCACTCTGCAAGCTGCTGTTTCTATGCCCTCTACACTCCATACAAATACATCTTCAGTATATCTCAGTGGTTAAGTTTTAAATTTTTTTTTTATGTATAAATTATTATATTACTTCCAACATATATTTTAGTTGTTTCATTGTACATGGTCAGTGAAGGCTTTCTGTACCAGTCTAGTGAGAATAAACAACTTAAAGTATCATCATTGGCATGGCATTTTATTTGTTTTGAAGTCATTGTCCAGCCTTGAATATGAAATTTGACATTATTACTTCCAAGTCCCTTACATCAATTGACCTCTCTATTGAGTAGTTTGAATTTGTTTTACACTTCATTCCAGTTTTTTATTTCCCCAATTAATCCATAGCATATTAACTAAAATTTGTTTTCCATAGTCTCCTGGAAGATCTGGTTTATATCGACTTGGAAATTTGTTTGTCCTAAATGGATGCCACTCTAGTACAAGTTTTAGTATTGTTTGCAAAGGATGACATGATGGTATGATTTGTGTCTGTCAGATTTTTTTTTTTTTCAACAAGTCGGCCGTCTTCCACCGAGGCAGGGTGACCCAAAAAAGAAAGAAAATCCCCAAAAAGAAAATACTTTCATTATCATTCAACACTTTCACCTCACTCACACACAATCACTTTTTGCAGAGGTGCTCAGAATACAACAGTTTAAAAGCATATATGTATAAAGATACACAACATATCCCTCCAAACTGCCAATATCCCAAACCCCTCCTTTAAAGTGCAGGCATTGTACTTCCCATTTCCAGGACTCATGTCTGAATATATAAAAATAACCGGTTTCCGTGAATCCCTTCACTAAATATTTCCCTGCTCACACTCCAACAGCTCATCAGGTCCCAAATACCATTCGTCTCCATTCACTCCTATCGAACACACTCACGCACGCTTGCTGGAAGTCCAAGCCTCTCGTCCACAAAACCTTCACCCTCTTCCTCCAACCTTTTCGAGGACGACCCCTACCCTGCCTTCCTTCCCCTACAGATTTATACGCCCTCCATGTCATTCTACTTTGATCCATTCTCTCTAAATGTCCAAACCACCTCAACAACCCCTCTTCAGCCCTCTGACTAATACTTTTATTAACTCCACACCTTCTCCTAATTTCCACACTCCGGATTTTCTGCATAATATTCACACCACACATTGCCCTTACACAGGACATCTCCGCTGCCTCCAACTGCCTCCTCGCTGCAGCATTTACAACCCAAGCTTCACACCCACATAAGAGCATTGGTACTACTATACTTTCATACATTCCCTTCTTTGCCTCCATAGATAACGTTTTTTGTCTCCACATGTACCTCAACGCACCACTCACCTTTTTTCCTTCATCAATTCTATGATTAACCTCATCCTTCATAAATCCATCCACTGACACGTCAACTCCCAAATACATATCTGAAAACATTCACTTCTTCCATACTCCTCCTCCCCAATTTGATATCCAATTTTTCTTTATCTAAATCATTTGATACCCTCATCACTTTACTCTTTTCTATGTTCACTTTCAACTTTCTACCTTTACACACACTCCCAAACTCGTCTACTAACCTTTGCAATTTTTCTTTAGAATCTCCCATAAGCACAGTATCATCAGCAAAAAGTAACCGTGTCAATTCCCATTTTGTATTTGATTCCCCATAATTTAATCCCACCCTCCTCCCCAACACCCTTGCATTCACTACTTCTGCAACCCCATCTGTAAATATATTAACCCTTTGAGGGTTTTGGTCGTACTAGTACGTTTTACGCGTAGGGGTTTTTGACGTACTAGTACTCATAAATTCTAGCGGCCTCAAATCTAGTGGGAGAAAGCTGGTAGGCCTTCATGTGAAAGAATGGGTCTATGTGGTCAGTGTGCACAGTCTAAAAAAAATCCTGCAGCACACAGTGCATAATGAGAAAAAAAAAACTTTGACCATTTTTTTTTTAATAAATCAGCGAATTTGCAGTGTATTTTTGTATGGTATTTATTGTTGTATTCTAGTTTTCTTGGTCTCATTTTATAGAATGGAAGACATATTACAGAAATTGAGATGATTTTGACTGGTTTTACAATGAAAGGTGCCTTGAAATTGAGCTCAAAGTAGCAGAAATGTTCGATTTTTACCAAACTTCAAAAGTAAACAAATCGTGCCAAGCGTGCAATACACGTCAACTGGTGAGTCTAATATTCTTTTACAAGTGCACCAATATTATTTATACATTTTTTACACTAATGCAGTAGTCTGCATAACAGTAAATCTTATATTTTTTGTGAGAATAAAATTCAAAGTGGAAAGCAAAAGGATATAAGAGGGCCCTTGAGACGTGACTAATGACTAGAGGAAATGTCATTTTAGTGCCAGGAATGTCTTTCTTGTTTATTATGGACCCTATTCGGAAATTGGCATCTTTTGAAATTTGTGTGAAATTGGCAAAATTGCTAAATTCTGACCACTGTACTGGATAGTTGAATTTATAAATGGGTGGTTTCTTGCACCCATTCGATAGAAAAAAAATGGAGTTCTAGCGAAATATTCATGTTTTTTGTCGACTAGTACAGTGAAATTGGCCGAAAATGGGGCTCAAAGTGGGCAAAATCGCCGATGCGTAAATATCGCCGAGACCGCTAACTTTGCGAGAGCATAATTCCGTAAGTTTTCTATCAAATTTCAAACTTTTGGTGTCTTTATGATCGGGAAAAGATTCTCTATCTTTTCATAAGAGAAAATAATTTTTTTTTTTTTTTTAAATTTGGCCGACCCTGAGAACGAGTTTCGGAGAGGGCCTGTCGACCCTCAAAGGGTTAAACAACCATGGTGACATTACACATCCCTGTCTAAGACCTACTTTTACCCTAACCTGAGCCTCACTATCCTCATAAAAAACTCTTTACAGCATTTAGTAACTTACCACCTATTTCTATATCTTGTAACATCTGCCACATTACTCCCCTATCCACTCTATCATATGCCTTTTCTAAATCTATAAATGCAATAAAAACTTCCCTACCTGTATCTAAATACTGTTCACATATATGCTTCAACGTAAACACTTGATCTACACATCCCCTACCCACTCTAAAACCTCCTTTCTCATCAGCAATCCTACATTCTGTCTTACCTCTAATTCTTTCAATAATAACCCTACCATACAATTTTCCTGGTATACTCAGTAAATTTTTATTTTTTTTAACAAACCGGCTGTATCCCACCAAGGCAGGATGGCCCAAAACGAAAAAAGAAAGTTCTCTTTTTAAATTTAGTAATTTATACAGGAGAAGGGGTTACTAGGCCCTTGCTCCCGGCATTTTAGTCAAGTCTTACAAACAGCATGGCTTACGGAGGAAGAATTCTGTTCCACTTCCCCATGGAGATAAGAGGAAATAAACTAGAGCAAGAACTAGAAAGAAGAAGAAGAAAACCCAGAGGAGTGTGTATATATATATATGCTTGTACGTGTATGTGTAGTGTGACTTAAGTGTAAGTAGAAGTAGCAAGACGTACCTGAAATCTTGCATGTTTAAGAGACAGAAAAAAGACACCAGCAATCCTACCATCATGTAAAACAATTACAGGATTCCGTTTTACACTCACGTGGCAGGATGATAGTACCTCCCTGGGCGGTTGCTGTCTACCAACCTACTACCTACAACTCAGTAAACTTCTTCCTCTATAATTTTTACAATCTCTTTTGTCCCCCTTCCCTTTATATAAAGGGACTATACATGCTCTCTGCCAATCCCTCTTTCATACATTTATTAAACAAAAATACCAACCACTCCAACACTATATCCTCCCCTGCTTTTAACATTTCTGTCATGATCCCGTCAGTTCCAGCTGCTTTACCCCCTTTCATTCTACATAATGCCTCATGCACCTCCCCACACTCACATCCTGCTCTTCTTCACTCCTACAAGATGGTATACCTCCCTGGGCAGTGCATAAGAACATAAGAAAGAAGGAACACTGCAACAGGCCTACTGACCCATGTGGAGCAGGTCCATGTGCCCCCCCCCCAGAATTAGCCCAATGACCCCCCCCCTCGGATTAGCCCAATGACTCACCCAGTCTGGTCACCTCCACTCAAGGATGGAGCACGGCACCAGACCAGCAGCACAAGCTAGCCAGGTCCAACTCACACCCCACTCATGTATTTATCTAACCTAATTTTAAAACTACACAACTTTTTAGCCTGAATAACTGCACTCGGGTAGTTTTTTCCCACTCATCCACGACTCTATTACCAAACCAAACCTATATCCTTCCTGAATCTGAATTTTTCCAGCTTGAAAACCATTGCTGCGAGTCCTGTCTTGGCTGGAAATTTTCAGCATGCTATTTATATCCCTTTATTTATTCCTGTTTTCCATTTATACACCTCTATCATATCCCCCCTAATTCTTCGTCGACATTTAAAAGTTCCTGAAAATATTCTTGCCATCTACCCAATACCTCCATCTCCCCATCCACTAACTCCCCTACTGTGTTTTTAACTGACATATCCATTGTTCCCTAGGCTTTCTTAACTTATTTAACTCGCTCCAAATTTTTTTATTATTTTCATTAAAATTTCTTGACAGTGCCTCTCCCACTCTATCATCTGCTCTCCTTTTGCACTCTCTCACACACTCTCTTCACCTTTCTTTTTACTCTCCATATACTCTACTCTTCGTATAACACTTCTGCTTTGTAAAAAACCTCTTATAAGCTACCTTTTTCTCTTTTATCACCACCTTTTACTTCATCATTCCACCAATCACTCCTCTTTCCTCCTGCAACCCACCCTCCTATAACCACAAACTTCTGCCCCACATTCTAATACTTCATTTTTAAAACTATTCCAACCCTCTTCAACCCCCCCCCCCCCTACTCGCACCAGCAAACCTTTCTGCCAATAGTTGCTTATATCTCACCCGAACTTCCTCTCCCTTAGTTTAAAACTCGTTCACCTCCTTCTTACTTGTTGTCATTTTCCTCTTGTCCCATCTACCTCTTACTCTAACTGTAGCCACAACTGATATTTGAAAAAACTGGGGAGAGTTGAGCAGATCTTTACACTGTGGCAGTCTCTGATTTTACTTTTGGCCCTCCCCTCCCCCCTCAGAAAACAAAATAATGCAACTGTCAGCTATTTTTCAGACTTCATTAATATTACTGTAAATCATTCGGTATGTGAAAATATGCTTTAATGTTGCTACATGATAATTTGTTGCTCTGTGTAGATACTTGCAGATATTTATTTTATTCATTCCATTTATACAGGTGATGCTGAACCCTCACTAGATGGAGTAGACCACAGTTATCACTCGAAAGGCTGTGCAGCTGTGCACATCAAGATTTCTCTTCCTCAGAGTAATGGTAAAATCAATTCTACAGCAAAAGATCCCAACAGACTGGTAAAAGGAAGCTAGTGTGTAGTAAATCTTGCAAATATAGTGTTTTGTTATGTAAAGTTATCAGTTTTACATAACTAAATATTCTAATGGAAGTTTATTAACAAAAAAGAGAAATTAAAGTGCATTTGTGTCAGATTTGTGGCTGAAAAGTTTTGCAATGTACATACGCTGTGTGTATAGGAATTAACTAAAAGCATATGAAAATGGTATTTGTTTTAAAACATTTTTATGCAAAAACTGAAAAATTGAAAATGCTGTGGTGGTGAAATAAATCCATGTGTCAAATGTTTTAAGCATCTAAGAATTGGCAAATTTTAGAATATAAAGAAATTAGACCCCAATAAGAAAGTGTTTTTCAGCTGCGTGAGTAACCTGTGGCTTGGAAAACTTTATTGGGGGTAGAATAATTTTTAAAATTGTATTTAATATAGAATTGTTAAATAAATTTTAGTTTTTAAAAGTACAGTGGAAACCCCTTTTTCGTCTTTAATCCCCAGAAGAGCAGCCGAAAACCCGTTTTTGTATAAAAATGAAGTAATATTTTCCCAAAAGAAATAATGTAAATCAAAATTAATCCGTTCCAGGCCCCCCAAAAAACTAAAAAAAAAGTCTTTTTCTAGGAATAACTAGTTTTCCAAAAAAAAAAAAAAAACAATGAAATAAATATAAAGCACTTATAAAAAGGGAAAAATGAACACTTAAATCATTTTTTCCTTTATGAAGATTGTTGCATATAAAGATGGCAAAGGGGGGGAGGGGGAGGAGAGGTTTCTCTACCACCATCGTACCACAATCACTCCATCTCAAACCATCCCCCCCTCTACGAGTAAAAAAGGCGATTTGGTCGTAGAAAATTGAGGGTGCACCTGCAGGCAGGGGACGCTTCTGGTAGGGGGGGGATTTCCGGCGGTGTAGAAAACAAAAATTTCGCCTAAAAAAGGGGGGGGGGGTCGAAAATGAATTTGTCAATAATGGCCCCGGACGAAAACCGGGGTTCCCACGAAACTAAAATTGAAGTGTAAATTTGGCAGGGACATTGCAGTTCAAAGGGTCTTTGAATTGTGATAAAATGATAAAGGGTGACTTAGTTTTCTTTTTGGGTCACTTTTTGGTGGAAATGCTGTGAAAAAAAAATAAAAAAAAGATGCAAAAACTAAAAAAAAGTGAAGAAACTCAAAAAAAACGTATATGAGACGTGAAAGGTGCAGAGTAAGCAAATGGACGGGAAAAGCATTTGGCAAAAAGGGTAAATTTCCCCTAAAACTGGTTTAAAAAGCATGATTGTTCCACTAAAAGGGTAAAAGTCCCAGGGGGTGAATATAACATAATGATGAGTTACTTTTAACTAATAAAAAGGGTAGCAATTGTATATAACGGGGGTAAATAAACTACTTTTTTAATGCACTTGCTAATCACCATATTCTTTAAATGGATGTTTCCCAAAAGGGCACGACATTGCAGCTCAACTGACCCTCTGAACTGCAACACCCCCACCCCTATACGGGATCAGACATGGCTTTTCCCCACCCCCGGGATTAAAGTTCAGCTAATTAGTTTCCTTGAATCCCTTCATAAAACTTACCGGCATTCTTCAACAGCAGGTTAATAAAAAAAAAAATTTGGACAAGGAGTTTGTGTTCACATTTTTTGAAAAAATGCATGAAAAAGTTACAAAAGGGTAAGTTGCAAGAGTTTCACCTCTCAGGGTTATACAATTTTTTTAAATTTTGGGGAAAAATACTTTCATGATAGGTTAAGAAAAAAAAGTGAAAGCTTTAATTAATGTTTGTCTAAAAAGGGGGGAACCCCACAAAATGACGGGGGTTTCAGTATGCAGAGTGCAAATGGCCTGTAAAAGAGATTGAAAATTACATTTCCTTGACTTGTAAAGTGCCCCATTAATTTTGGGGAGTTGGGCCACGCCGGTCATTTTTTGCTTGGGGTGAGCAAAATCCGAGTTAAAAAGGAGCTTAAAATTTTCTAAAAAAACAAAAATAAATTTGCTAAGATTTTGACATTTGCAAATATCTTGCCCTTTACCCCCACCAAATCCCAAAATTTTTGGAATATATTTCTAATATTCCACAACCCAATTGTAGAACAATAATTTTTTTTTATTCCTGTCTATTATTGTTTTACTGTACTTAAATAAAAAATGGGGGGTTTTCAGAAATAAGTCGGTAACTTCGAGATTTCCCAGGAACGCGGCCGGCCTCTTGCGTTAGCCTCTCAAAAACTCTGTTTTTCTACCCAGGACCAAAGAACCTTTATAGAAGGAGCAGAAATGATTTTATATGCTCAGACGGGTCCTGGAAATCGCCTATTATGGCTTATTTTCTTCATTCAGAGTTATATCATGTTTCTATGTTACTTAGTGTTTATTTGTCATATTAGATCAATTCTGATAGATAAATAAGCCTAGAGTTGTACGTTATTTTGAAGTTTTTCTCCTCCCCCTAAGACTCGGGAAATTTCCCGCCGACATAAGCAAATGTCTGATCTCCAAGGTAAATACACTTTTAAAACAGTTTTTTTTTTTCTTTACATTCTCTTTTTTATGTTTTATAAAAATTTTTCTTTTTTAAAATACATTTTTTTTTTAAAAACCCCAAAACAAAAAAATTGGGATTTTTTTGGGGGGCTGGAACAGATTTGTAATGGCATTTTAAAATTGTGTCATTTCAGTAGTGCTAAAAATGACACAAAGTGAATACTGTAAACAGAGTGAGGAAACAAAATGGCACCAGTCATGTGGCTCACCACTGAAAATGATAAACATTAAAAAGCAATTTAGGAAAGCCCCTAAAAGATGAGTTGTATTAGCGGAGTAGCCTGACTAGTTTAAAAAAGGACCATCTTAAGAATTTTTTTTTTAAAGAACTAAATTTTAAAAGGGTTGTGATAATTATTCTTATTTTAGGGGGAAAATATGTTGCTAGTAATGATTCAATATTCATTTAATTTATGTATTTTTTTAACCCCTGTGATATCTCAGTTTTTGTCGTAAAATTTAAATATAACGTGTGATAATATTTTTTCGGGTTTTTGTCTGGTCCCGATTACAGAAACCCTTTTGTGTGGTGGTTCTTAGGGTCGAGGGGTCTGCACGTGAGCTGGGGGGTAGTATTTTTCCTTTGTTCATTGCCGAGCATGAACCCCTACTTTTGTTTTATTGCCCTTATTCGAATGTACCGGGATGGGGTGTTCTGAAGCCCAGCTTACGTGCTTTTTGGATTTTCTCGTGCTAACATTTGGCTTTATTTTAAAAATTCCTCCTGGTGAAAATTTTGGAGCCCTTCAACTTGAATACTCAGCAGTAATGTCACCTGTTTGTTCCCCTTATTAATTTTAATCGGCTTGTACCTTAACTAAATTTTTAAAAAAAAGCTAACAGATTTAAAGTAAGAAAACTATACGAATTTTGAGAAAGTCTTGGTCTTATCAAGCAAGTCTTTTAAAATTTACTTAATATGTGCAGTATAATGTTATTTTATTTAAATGAAAGTATTCAGGTTTAAAAAAAGGTTTTTTAAAAAAATTAAGAGAATCTTTTGGCTTCCTAAAAATAAATTGAAAGGGGCAAAAGTTTTTATTTGTAAGGGAATAAAATAAATAAAAATATCATATGGGAAAAATTTTTATTTATTCACCCCCTTTAAAGGGACTCCTTTTTTTAAAATTTTTAGTAAAAAAGGATCCCTTTTTTTATGTAACACCAAAAAAATTATTTACATTATTCTAATTTTTTCACCATGATAGATATACTTTTTTTTTTTTTTTTAACACAGGCCATCTCCACTGAGGAGGAGGGCTAGAAAAAGAAACACTTTCCCCATTTTCCCTCACACTGTTTTCCCAAAGGCATGCAGATATACGTTAGATACCCCTCAAAACAGTATCTTTAAACCCCCCCCTTTAGGATGGAAAATTCTTTTACAAAATTTAGCAAGATTATATATTGGAGGAAATGGGATAAAAAATTTGTGAGTCAGCAAATATTTGGCAAAAAAACTGACGACTTTAAAGGGGGTTTGGGATATTGGATTTTGGGGGATATTTATTATCTTTAAAAATTCTTTAAATTGTTGTATCTGGCACCTCTGCAAAAACAGTGATTATTATGAGTGAGGTGAAAGTGTTGAATGATGATGAAAGTACATGTATTTTCTTTTTGGGCCACCCTGCCTCGGTGGGAGACGGCTGACTTTTTGAAAAAAAAAAAAAAAGTTTTAGAACCCTGCCTTGGTAACAAGCAGCCATGAGGTAAAAAAAAAAAAAAATGCTGTACAACAGATGGGGGCATAATTGGGGAAAAAAAAATAGAGCACAGAATTGGATTAAAGCACAACTGTTGGGGAAAGATGAAACCCCAAAAATTGCAGCAAAGTTTGGGGTTTTTAGCACTTTATTATTATTGTAATTTAACTATGTGTAATTGATCCCCCAAGATAGATTCCATCTGATTAAAAGGGGTACTTTAAAGAGTGAATAACAAGCATAGCAGGGCCTGAAAGGTTGAAAAATGTGTGTCTGATAAAAAAACAGATCAAAAGCTGTATACGGGATAGTGATGTGATTTGCAGTTTTTGCAGAGGGAAACAGTAATGTCCCTTCAGGGGAGAAATTTTCAACGTAAAAGCATCACAGCAAAAGGGGAAAAGGGATTTAATCATTTTCATCAAATTCAAAGGGAAAGGGGATAGTCAAATTTCCCCGGAAACAAAATCCCCTCAATGATATCAAGCCCCTTCCCTTAGGGGGAGAATGGAGCAGTATAACCATGAAAGATCACTGGAAGTCTGAAGTGACCAATGTTTGGAAAAAAGAAGTCTCCCGTATTCCCAACATTTTTGAATTTTCTAGGTCAGACTTGAGGAAACATTACAAAGGGATAACTTCCTATTTAAAAGAGCAAGTTTTTTTAAAGGGTGAAAGTGAGATTTTGAAAGTTCATTGTCTAGAGACCCAGCAAAAAAAAAATTTTTTTTTTTTGCTTATAAAGTTGCAACAAAAATATTGGTGCTGTAGACACTTTTGGGGTTTAGAGCGTCCCCAATTATTGTTACAAAGCCAAAAACCCGAAAGGGGGGTGGGATTAGAAGTTTCAAGTCATGACCCTGCATTTTTGTCATTAACATTTAATGTTTTTGAAAATAGACAATTTCATTAGTAAACCCTTTTTATTATTTATTTTCTTAATTTTTATCCTTTTTTCATCACTTTTACCCATTCTTCAGAATTAAAATCAAAATCCTCCAT